ATAATTAACTGAGTTTTGGTATAACAATTATCCTCATACGATTTTTCCCCAGAGCACATACTGATTTACCCTGTCCCTGGGGTGAATCCGTATTTTTCTCAAAAAAAGTAAAACGCAAATTAAACAAATTTAAAAAAAAAAATAGAAAAAAGTTTCGAATAAAAGTTATAGACCATAAGTTTTTCTATATTATAAACCAGTTTAAAAAATTTAATTTCGTTAAAAATTACATGATTTATAAGCCATGGAAGCTTAACCGTACGGTACTGCCCCGCCTTCCCCTACCTATATAATATTTAAACAAACTTTTGACAGTTATTAAAATTTTTGTACAAAATAAAAATACATTTAAAATGCCATTATAGTACATGTGCAAATAAATAAAAATTTAAATAATTATTTCTAACAACCCGCCAATTTTACAAATTTTTATGAACAAATAAATAATAATTATGTTTTTAAATACATTTTTATTTTGTATAAAAATTTAAATAACTGTCAGTTGTTTGTTTTACTAATATACCCATACCTAATTATAATTTTTAGGAAGCTTATCACTTAAATGTTATGTGTCATGTATTGATCAACTTTTACTAAGTCAAATTGTATATCATAGGATGTACACAACGTGTTTAGAAAAAGCCCGAATAAAATTAAGAATTTCATAATTTACTGAGTACAAACAGTAAAACCTAGGTTTACCTAGTGATCGAGAATTTATGATAACATATACACAATTAGATAAGTATATAAGGTATAAGTACCTACAACATACTTTAGTACAGTATAAAGTTTTCTATACCACCTAGGTACTTCTAAACAGACTGGTTTTAGATGCTATTTATTTTAAATGTGGTTATTACCATCGAAAGTAGAAGTTTGTTTTTATTATTAAAATAGAAAATTTACAATCTCTAGGATAATTTACAATAAACGAATTGGATAAATATGATAGGAAAATATTTATATAATAATAACATTTATGAGGAGGGAGTCTATCCAGTGATAGAACTGTCAAACAGCATTATGGTTAGGGATTTAGTAAATCTCTGCACCAGCTTCTTTTTRACCGTCAGGTGTGATTATTTTGTAGATTGGCTCCACCTAGAATAACTAATAATTATTAGTGGGTTGGCGTGGGTGGCTAATTTGGAGTGGATTTTTTGTATTTGGTTTGATGCAACTATGGTAATGGTTTGAATTTTAAGGTCATGTGGAGTGAGATATTAGAGACATTTAGAGACAAGGGTGTGGAAGTTAGGAAATGTAGAGTAATTAATTGGAATGCTTGAATTGTTTTTATTGGCACATCCTCATATTTGTATTCCTTAAATCCAAGTAAAAAGTAGAAATCTACCTTGATGTTTCGCCCATCTAACCATTTGACGATAATAATTTTTAAAATTCCTCTCTGGTATCATTTACTATTTCTAAATCACTCTTCTTGCGTTTTCATCAAAAATCAGTTGATTTCACAAATTCAGTGGAATGGTAAAGTCAAATATTTTATCAGCAACTCTTTTTTTGAATGATCTACCATTGAAGAMAACTATTATACTAATACTGGATGTATATACATTTTTAAAATTGATCGGATAGATTGAAATTAAATGAGTACCTACATAGTTTTGTACTGAAAAATTGTCGGTACTCGGTACCCAATATACTTAAGTACAAATACAAGATATAACTTACAATAACAATGTTAAGTAGAAAATATCTTGTGTTCTATCAAAATAAGCTTATTTTGTTTGAATCAAATAATATTCCTACAACCAATTACCATGATTGTATTGGATCGTTTTCATTTATCTTTTTAAGATTTAACTCCATTTCCACTTTTGCTTGAGTTATAATGATGAAATAATTTTGTGAATCTCTTATATTATATTTTATAAATTTTATAAATTATCTTTTGTCATTACTGTCTTTAGTTGATTTTTTTGTGTTGGAATAAATATGTTATTACATTACCTATTACAGTCAAAGTTTTTGAATTAGGAAATAAAGAGAGATTTTATTTTATTTTAATTATCATACAAAGAAATAATATACAAAAACTGCATAGGTACTATTGAAGAACTCTTATTTTGAACTATTTATATTTCAGATGATACCTAGCTACTTAAAAAATATTATGTGGGTGTCTCAATTATTTTTAATTTAATATTATGTGGCACTAAAAATATATATTAATTTTTAGTAGGTAGGTATTATATTTTATAGTGAGAGGTTCATATTTAACTCAAACAATACTACTATGCATGCTGCATATTCAAACATCATAAAGACAATTATAACATCTAGAAGTTATAAATATTTAAATTAAATAAATAGGTAGCCAGGTAGGTACCTATGTAAATAGTTTCCAGTTGACATATCTTGCATTTAACTACAGAATTGTTGAAATAATTGTATGCTTTTGCAATATATCTGACTTTATTGTGCCAGACACTGCCAGTTAATTATTAATGTAATTCTTTATTTCCATAGCTACCTACAAATTATTGTGTACTTAATAATTTTAGTAGATGTTATATACAGATATACTTTTGGAATTATGTTAATTCTGTACCTACGATCTAAGTAAATAATAACAATAATAATAATATAAAACTAGGTATTTTACATAAAATGTTTCCATCATAGTTAATATTTGATTATATGCCCTCTTTCAATAAACACTGATCATTATTTGATATTTTTATATTAGAAATTTGAATTTAAAATTGTATCAATCAATCCCAGAAAAAAAATATTTAACACAAAAATCACTCATAACCACTCCAGTGGCAATATTTATGTCTACTAAAAATAATATTAATTTGCATGGATTTTTGAGAATTCGAAATGCGAATACCTAATAGGTATTGCTTGATTTAATCTCAGTGAACCACGGATCAAGTATATGAAAGCACTTCCATGATATTAAAATGGATAAGTTTAATAATTACACTTACGGGCTATTAAGTTAATAAAATAAAATATTTATACTCAATAACAAAATAATKTATACATGACTAATATTCATTAATATTGTACATAGGTTTATAACTCCATTTTTAATTCAAGCATTACCTATCACATTATCTGACTGATAGGAAATTTGAATAAAAGTAGTACTAAATCACTACTATAAACTGTACATATTTTGTAATTATTATATTATTAGTATTATTTATATTAGTTAAATTACTTACTATTTCATTTAAAATCTGTCAAATTAAACTTTTAAGGTTAAATATTTCCTAATTTTATATTATAGTAATAATATTAAATACCTATCAAGGTGAGTCAACTGTCTGATATAATCACTAAATCATATGATAATTTCAAAAGTAGTACAAAATAATGATTCAGAATGGTATGATGATAGTATTAAAAATTCATTTGAATTTTATGATACAGAATGAAGTGTGTGTTTTAAAAATTGTATTTTAATAAAATATGTGATTACTAAAAATATTCAATCTCTCAAATTGTTCTGATTTACACTGTATTTTAATAATTATTGACAAGTCAAGTGTTCACAATTAAAACTACAATACAATAAAATTCTGATGATTATTTTATGATAAATGTTAATTACTAGTTTATATAAGTCCTATAACAGGTATGAGTCTATTTCTAACTTAAACAAATACATTTCGTAACATAATCTACATATCCGAACATTGGATGAAGACTATTCGGTTTCTATAATAGGTACACTCAATACTCAAATATATTTTTAAATTAAAGTGAAAACTGAAGGTTTAACTTATTATTATTATTTTACCTACTTCAGATTAAATTATTAATGCCTGGGCTAATTCACTGATGCTACTAATAGTTCAACTTCATATAGTTAATTGTTTTCCTCATTTATATTCCACTTCCATGTAACTGTTATGAAAGCTGATAGTTTCAGATATAAATTTTTATTAAATAACACCACTAGCTATTAAATTAATACAATATTCTTTATATGAAGTAGTTTTTGAATACATTAAATGATATCATAGCCTAAAATTGTATGTATTAGTTTACTATGTGCAGTAACTAACAAATATATTTTTAAATATTTTGTCAAGTTAAATTAGTTGTGTAATATAAAAATTTGTGAATTTTGGCACTGGATAATATATGTATACCTCATAGTTCATACAATTATATCCATAATATATAACTACAATAATTTTTTCCTGTCAAATAGGTAGGTAATAATGCACATTCTGTCACATCTCAAAGTTGGTGAAAGTTTCAGAAATTATTCCTAGAGATTAATTAACTCCCATTATATTTTATATTTATACTTTTTTGATACGCTTGCAACCTTATGCATGGAATATTTATATGCATGTATATATATATATATATATACCTATTTATATTAATAAATTATGAACAATGAGTATGGTTGAATAAAACTAGCTATACCTATATGGCTGTTAATAATGTACAGTTCAATTATAAGTTAGACTTTAAAATATGTGAGACATTGTAAAAACAAAAAAATAATTGGAGAGCTATTTACTCATCCCAAATTTTATTTTTGTATGCATTTTATGAAAAGTTCATATTAAAGTATTAGTTTTAGAAAGTGTTCAATTTTATGGCATTTCTATAAGTTTAATTTTATAAAATGTTATATACAAATATTAAACTGCAGGTTTTTAATTTTATCTGATAACTTCAAATAGGTACACTAAACTACCTAGTATAAAATATATTTCATTATTAGGTTCTGTCGTTTATAAAATATTTTGTTTTAACATAATAATCATAATGAAAAAAAAATACCTATAGGCTAGATTATTACCTAGTCTAGGCTGGTCATTCGTTTTACAGAAAATGGAAAGGTTTTCGTTAGATTACCAATTAGGTTATCTTACTACGATATAAATACAATACACATTTGAGTTATTTTTGAAGGTTTTTATTATATTAATTTTTAATGATTATTTAGGTCAATGTCTAAAACCTATTAATCTAGTTTCCAGAAGTATCTAGGTTCTAATAAAATGATTAGACTCTTATTTGGTTAGATAACAATCTCGATCTGCGCAATTGCAGTACCATGGCCCCATCGGGAAATGTCGTCTGTAGGTTTGACTGCAGTAAATCTGCCAAACCATGGCATGAATTGTCCCCGCTAACTGCCATACGGAACGTTGTAGCGTTGCTTTTGACCATATCGTGAATCTTCGGTATGTAAAAAAAAGAGAATATAAAATAATTAATCAACCTAATCATATTATGTGAAAAAGCTTAAATTAAAGGAAAAATTTGTATCCAGGGCGGAGAGGCAAATTCTGTCATTAGATCAAAATTATATCAAATTATCATTCATATGCCTTAAGAAAACAAATAGATAATAATTGTTAAAATTATACGACACSACCCTGGTCTAACCCATGACTGTCCTCTTAAAATACTTATATTAAAAATAGTTACGATAATATTTTAATAAAATAATAATATGATCGTATAAACTGTGCATTTTATACTATTATAGTATACGTAAGTCACACACAAAAATATATTATATGTTATTATAACGAATATAAAATTTGCAATGTAGCGTGTGGGTCGGAGAAAAAAACGTGCTGATATCCACTTAAGTGTCCGATAAAAATTATTGTAGAAAAAATGAACCTAACCTAGAATAAGCAATACTTTTTTAGAACAACATCTGAAATGATGACGAAATAAATTTAGGTACTATAGTTTGAGATAAATCGCAAAGTAATATTTAGTTAATTGAAAACATATTTAAATTTATTATATTGAATTAAATTGATGGAATGATATCTACCTACCTAAAATTAATTTAAAAACGAATTCAAATATGTTTTCATATGCACCAGTTGCCATATTAAATTAAAGTCATAATATACTCACAGCACATCTGATACTTGATTTGTCCTCATTGTTGTTGACTCGGCCGAATACCTGTCCAAACATAACTCCCTTCATGAATTCTTCTGACTCCGGCAAGGATGTTTCTGACTGACAGGAAAAGTTGAATTGTTCCATATCTAAAAAGTCACCCGTGGAAGACAGAATAAAAATATACGAGTTCAGCTAAAGTGTCATGGTTAGATGATTTTAWATCATTGTAATGACTGCAGGCTGCTATATACGTTCGTGTCAATCCCTCATTGAATAGACAATCATCAAACAGTTTATCAACTAATATTTAGATGCTAAATTAATTTGACCAGAACTATGTTGTTGCCTGTGATATAGGGAGCTGGGTGGTTAGTCTAACGTACTGATGAAGCTGAGACAGGCATGAGTGCAATGGTTTTTATGGTGTTGTACAAGTTGTCTTATTAAATGTTGTATCAGAAGTTGCTAAAGAGGTTTCTTTTTAAGCATTTATGATTAAAATGTTGATGAAATTCATCAAAATCACAACATTTGTATAGCTAAAATTTAAAATTTAAAACAAGGTTTCTCATCGTTGTTTATACGATAATCAAAAAGACTAAATATATATAGATACATTTTTTTTATAGATATTTAAAGTAAACATATTATAATTATTCATGGATACTTGAAACTTTTAAAGTAAATTATTTTATTTTATACACACAACAATTTCAAATACAATGTTTTCGGAAAAAATACATTATTCAATCTACTGTGTATTACTAGTATCACAATAAATAATTTTAATAGCAATAATATCATAAAAGTATAAAAATATACTTAGTAATACCTTTACGCCAACCTATACTGTCTAACATATACTAATATACACAATATGTTATTATATTTCACGGAAAATGCGGTATATCGGGCCAAATGGCCCTGCTTGGTCTATATGAATTTCGAATGAAATGATTTAAAATATATTTAATATTCATATGCAACGTAGTATACTTGTTATATGTACTATTATTGAACTGAAATAAATTTCTTACGAATCGTTGTAGCAGCCCATATTATTAGGTGAATTCCTATAATGTACTAAAATAATAATTTGTGACATGTACCTTTCTCACGGCAACGTTGCATGCCATTATTCAAACTTCCAAGCCACACGCTAAATGATTTTTTCAAAACGCCTGTAGATTTGAAGTCGATTAACCCACAACCACCAATCTGTGGCGAATCCAAAGTCATAGCAGTGATAACAGACACTTGATACTCTGCGGCGGTAAACCCAACTTGTGGACACATATCTTTGACAACTAAATATACAATAGAATAAATTAGTATATAATTGGTGTTTATAATGAGTTAGAAGTGTTAGGAAATTAATGATTATAGATAAAAAGTTAAAAATTAAACATCACATGAAACCTAAAATAAATATATAATGCGATACTATGTATATTTCAGATTGAAAACAGTTCTTAGTTAGCACTTAAGTTCAGTTAAAATGTATTTGATAACATCATGAATAATTCACGGTTAAGTATAACACTATCCGGAAAATATTATTGAAAAATGAAAACATTAACTACTTCTGAAAAAAACTAGGCATCACGAATGTGATTCATTTCATTGAAAAGTTTGGTCTATCAAACTGTGCTTTAAACTATCTATTAATAATAATAAGAGTAAAATATTTAAAATAAAAATAATATTTTTTAAAAAACCAAMATAGGCATATTTTAAAATTGTCATAAAATATAATAACAGTAGGTAATAAGCTGAATGATATTATAAATTCGGTTAACTAATAACAGAATGAGAAAATGCTTTTAGGTACTTACTGTTACTCCCGGGAAATTCTTGAATCACTGAACCACTGGTAATGGTGAGAATAGCGGAAATAGACATAATCAATGCTACTACCGAAGTCATAATGGAGTTGCCTCTTGTAAATTTAAGACAATCGAGAAGACGAATAAAATGCAAGCTGAACAAACAGTTGAAGCAAAATTAAAAAATCTAAATGCGTGAAAGAAACGAGGAAGACTGTCAGAGACCTTGAAAAAGTCAGTAAGTACACGGATCGTACTGATAGTGAGAGACCCTTCGCGAGCTATTTTATAAGCGACCGAAGCGGTAGCGCTAGTTGTGGCAGTTAGTAGTCCCACCTAGTGGTTTTAGTTCCCCAGGTTCATATTATATTGTTGACACCACATTCTTGCAGTGAACAGCACTCCTACCCACCACACAATAATTTWAAAAAATACAAACATGTTTTTGAGTACCTATCGACTATCCATCTAAACATCAACCAATATGTTATAGAGCACATAGAACATAAATTAAAAAAGTATTGTTTGAACCACATAAATATTTAGGTATTTTATAATAAATTATTTTAGTGAACACTTACTTACGCTTTGTCGAGTTTACGCTTTTCCTATAAGTACGTGAGATTTTAAATGTCCCAGAAATACTGACTTTCCATAATAATAGATAATTATTGGTCAGTGACTGAATTTTGACGTCGGCCGGACGACACACAAAATACCATAGAAGCCGATCACTCATAATTTATTTTTAATCCAATTTTTATATTTTTTATTAATTTAAGTGCATAGTTGTTGTTTTTTTAAATGTTCAGAATAGTCTTTCCCGTTAATGTATATAAATAAATAATAAATATACATAAAACGAGTTTGTAAAAGTATCTATTTTATATTCAATCAAAATTGTTGGAGCTTTATTAACTACACCAAAATAATAAAATCGTTCAACGAGAATTCGTTAATAATTGGCTATAAATCTACTGTCAAAACTATTTAACTTTTAACGCTTATAACGCAAACTGTTAACAATACATTATCACTCCTCGTAGAATCTTAAAGTCGGATTTTAGATTAACTAAATAATATACGGGACTTACAAATTTAAGTGATTATAGTTTTTATAACAATTTATATAGCACTGATGCGGTATACTGAATAGCGGTATGCATACTACTGTTAATCTGCAAAAGGATTCATGGTGGTACGCAATAGGTGTAATATACTACGGACAATAAAAAAATTAAAATTTTTACTTATGTTTGTAACATTTGTTTAATATTATTTAATGTTTTATATACCTAAATAGAGACTAAAAATTTTAAATAAATATATTGTTAGTAATTAGTTGTATACATGGTCGATCCATATAATAAATATGAGTACTGAGTAATACCGAAAAAAATGTTTAAGAGGACGCCACACCCTCTTGTGTCATCTTCGTTTGACTCCGTTAGCTTAAAAATTAGAGTGAAAAGACCTATTACGAAACTTGATGGTAAGAACATTATTTGTGCTTTGTTGGAATTATTTTTAGAATGGTTCAGTTTTTAAATTGAGTTATGAGCATTTTTATTTTACAATTTATTATACTCGCATAACTCACTTAAAAACTAAAGTATCGTAAATATACTTCCAACAAAACACAGATTATATTCTTACCATCAAGTTTTATAATAGGCCTATTCACTCTAATTTTTAAGCCAACGTATAATGCTGAGCGTAAATTTTCTATGTTACGCATTTGTAACTTTGTATGACAAAGCCAACACATGCGGGTGTGGCGTCTCCTTAAGAGTCTCTGTTCTATTGAAGTATTATAAATAAGATATGTGGGCTATGGTGATTTGAACATTTTATTCAATAATGTTAAACTACCAAGATTAATAATATATAAAAATAACCCAAATATGATTAATACTAGTTCCATTATTACGTTTATTTTACATTTTTATAGAACCATTTTTAAAGACTAATCCTTAGTACAAAATATACTTTAATAACTATAAAAAACCACTCATTCGAATTTTGAACTAGGCATTAAATAATTTTCAAAATAAGTTATATACATAATAATATAAAGAAGCAGAGATTTTCATTAAAAAAAAAGTCGATTTCGCCACCAAAGACACTTCTCAAGTAGTACAAAAAATGCAGTCAAGAATATCACAGTACTAGGAACAAACTCCAAAACTTGATGGTTTTAATCTTATGAACTTTGGACTGTTAACGGTCTACATTTCTGATTAAGTTAAATCATACATCGTTTACTATTTGATCAATGTATTATAGGTATCTCTAATAATTAATGAATAATAATGATTTATTACTACACAGACATTTATATGATCCAGTCACACTTTGAAAATTGGCCGATTGAACTTTTTAAAAACTATCAGTATTGAAGATTAAGAAAAGTCTGCAGTTATATTGCAATCAAAATATACCAATATTTCTTCAATCATGTCGATGGAGGCTTGAAGCTATAGTCATGTGATCACACTTTTAGAAATAAAAATATAATTATTATGTCTTATTGAGACCGGTCGACCACTCAATCAAATTTTGTTTCTTAACTTCGATGAATTTGGTTTGAATATAAATTTGTTCGTAGGCCCACTATAGATATCCAACAATAGTGATCTCCTGGTGCTTAATACGTTTTTTATAATAATTTTAAAAACTGGTATGGAATAATCAGTAGAACAGTTAACCAACAAGAAAATTTAACTTATTTAATGGTTTTGTATTCTGAAGGTGATATTTTTTAAATAATAAATAAATAAATAATTAAAAATGGGAAAAAACTTGTCTTCGTATTTATAAGAAACAATCGTCTAAATCTTATTAAACAGCAATAAAGTGATGTCCCGTGGATACTCCAGACAGAGTAGGTATTATTATTATCATAAATTAACGACCAGTGCGACCGGCCGCCGCCATTGTATTGAAACCGTCATCATGACGCCACCCAAAAGGATCCACCACGTCACGACGCCCGTACCTGCACAATCAAAAACGAGTATTAATCTGTTCATATAGGCGACGGCGTGGCGGGACGACCGAACACGGAAAAACAGTTTTAATATTATTATTTTTTCAGTGTTGTACCAAATGTAGGCACTCACCTAGTCCGTGGTTGCTTTTCATTTCGCTGCTTACGAATTACATTTCGTATAAAAAGGTATAAAAAGGTATATTACCTACTAATTACTGCGTACTGAAGTTTTTTTTAGTGCATCTGAATTTCGTCCCCATTACCTGTGATAATGTGATATCTAAAATTTTTAAAGACGAAAACGGTTATTATTATCAATTGCTTCAATATTTTAGTATTTTCGATTTAATAAAAATGATTACGTTAAAACTTTGTTATTGATAGTGAGTTATGCTCTGTAAACAATCAATACAATTATTGTCGTTGTATAGTTTACATTGTTCCCTACTCCGCACGTATGAAACAACGTTGTCGTATTAACTTATGAGGATGCTATACACATATTTGTTGTCTCCGTCTCATATAAGTGCGTACCATATAGCAAATGTACGCTTAGCATAGGTATCGCATTTGATTCCGTTACCTTATAAATTAGAATAAATTGACCTATCATKAAACTTGACGGTAAGAACATTATTTGTGTTTGTATGTGGGTTTTTTACGATAACTTAGATTTTAAGTGAGCTATGAGCATTTTTAATCTACGCTTTTTTATATACGCATAGTTTGCTACAAAATTGAACGATCTAAAAAAACCCACATACAAACATAGATCCACTTACGTCGAATCACTCTAATTTTTAAACTAACGGAGCTAAACGTGATCTGCTTAGCGTAAATTTGCCATGTTATGCACTTGTAAAGACGGAGACAACTGATAGTTGTTTAGCGTCATCTTAAACAAACGTACAACCTTTATAATTTATATGGAAAAATTGTTGAAAACAAGACAACTCAGATTTTCGATGAAAATAAATCAGTAATTTTTAGAAATAAAAAGTTATCTTATACCTACCATAATATTTTTATTAAAATAAAAATTTCATAATACATACAAAAAAACATATATTTTATATCAGTAATGATTAACGCTATAAATTGTATACAGTTCCAATTAAAAATGGGAACGCATTTAGTATCCCCTCCGAAAAAAAAATCAGAAGGAATTGATGCCGTGGGACGCAATTTTTATTCAACATTTTATTTAATCGTGATTTGAAATTACACTTGGGTACCTACAGTTATTCTACGACGCAACTAGTACAGTTAATCAAACTCTTAACAGTCATCACAGTAATACCTAATATCTTCATAGATAAAACACCCGATAATACCCATAGGTATTCATTTTTTTGTCTGAATTCAATCGTCTTCCCAATTCCCAGGTAAGAAAATCGTATTATAATCAAACGTGTTTAGGGTCATATTATTTTATTTTAATATATTGTTGTTGTAATAGACCTACGTGTGCGGTTGTCGTCGTCAGCAGCTGGTTTTAGGTAATAGTGATATTATATTCCACAGTTCATGCATTATACGAACGTCGAGAAACGAAAATGAAATGAGAAAAAAAATATTATATGGGTACCCAAGTATAATAATTTATTATTATAAATCTTCTACAAATCCCACCGTCGCGTCGTGAGATTGGGCTGGGATATGAACAGCTGCAAATGTGCATTGTGCGGGCCAGAGGGTGCATAGGAATGTTCATCAACGTATCTAGGGGAGTGGTGTGCGTGTATCCATGTATACTGTATAGCGAAGAGAGGCGTATTTAATAGTAGGAATGTGACTGTTAAAAACAAAATAATATATAATAAATCGTCTATACATAGGTAGATATATTATATATGTATATATATATATTTTTTTTTTTTAAGTGGATTGGTACTTTGTAGGCGTTAGTAGACCGTTTAATACAAGGCTGAGCATAAAAAATAATATAAACTAAATGCTTTATTTTCATTTATACTACATAAATTATACGTTTACGTTCGTTGTTATATATTTATGTAAAATATTTTAGTTTCTTTAAAAGTTAAGTATTCACTGCGGTTTAACTGACACATACCCACACTTGTTTTTTTTTTCGTTTTTCAGTCGATCAGAGGCGAGTTTCAAATAACAACCACCGCTACTACACCGCCTTTCTGTGAAATCTCTCATAAATCTGTGGCAGTGGCGTCGGTAAGTCG